AAAAGTAATGTCAAGAATAAAATTCTTCTTTTTTGGTCGTATCTTGAGTAATCATGATTTGAATAGATGTGTACCCATTATTTTTTTATCCATTATATGATTATGAATGCAGATTAATAAAGATTAATCATCTAAACTTGAATATTGATTATGTATCATATTCCTCAACATTAGTTGTATTGATAAAAGTTATCAAAAGCCACCCCTACTTTGGTGGAAATGTATTTTTGTTGTGACAATTTTTTTTATATTTTTAATCTGGCTCTGAATTCAGAAGACAAACATTTACATATATATAGACATTTATTCTTTAATGGACATTATAATCAATGATTGAGATTTACTTTCTAGAACTCAACTCAAATATTTATATATTTACAAAACTCTCAAAACTTATAGAATTTTCTCTAATCAATAAATTTACAGAAGCTCTCTAATGTTCTAGACAATGGCATAGCCAGCATGGGACTAGGGGCAGTTGCGCCCATGATGGCCTATTAATTTTTATTATATATTAGACATTTAATTTGTAAAAAATTATAAAATGGCCTCCTCAAATTGTTATTTTTCCCTAAAATCTCTTTAATCTCTCCTTCTTCTTCTTCTTTTTTTTTTTTTTCTTTCTTTCTTCCTACTCTTATTCTTTTTCAAAAAAAATAAAAAAATCTTACACTTCCTTTCTTCAATAAAAACCTAATTTCTTCCCTTCAAACTTCTCTCATATATTTTTCTTCTTTATTTTCATTTTTTTTCTTTTTAAAACTTTCCTTTTCCTTGCACTCATGTGCAAATTATATTCGATAACCTTATTTTATCTTCTTTTTTTTTAATTTTTTTTTTATCTACTTATTCTTTAAATTTCTTACTACTAAAATTTATACACTTAGGACATGTTTGGCAATCGCTGTGTTTTGTATTTTTGTTGATAATTTAGTGAAAAGGATAAACAAGTCATAAAAACACATTAATGTAATGTTACAACACTAATATTTTTCGGCTTGTTGTGCACTATTGGGGGTTGTTTTGAATTATCATGCTAACTATGTCCATGCCCCCTTGAACCAAATTCTTGGTCCGCCACTAGTTCTAGAATCTTTGTCAACTTTCTCTACAATCCATATTATTCATGCAAAATGAAAGACAATATAACTCTAGCTCTACTCATGTCATGCAGACTCTTTGTACAATCGTATATAGACTATGTGGCATAATCTCCCTGCAAATAAGGCAAATTTTATGTAGCCGCAACTGATTAAAAAGTACAAATAGAATTAAAGTGTGCAACTAGAGAAAAGATATTGAAATAGTCTGCCTTGAATATTTATAATCTTTAGCAACCAATCCAGCCTTGAGCCTTTCCATTGTACCATCAAGTTGGTATAAGATGGTATACACATGAATGGACAACTAAACCCTGTTTGGTTCCAATTTTGTTTTTTGTGTTTTGTTTTAATCTGAAACAAAATAAGTATTTTGTTGTAGGGTGATTTGAATAGTAATCGGAAGCATGTTTGGTAACGTTTATTTGTTGCAAGATTTTTCAAAAAAAAATATGAAAACATGTTTGATAAAAAAGTGTTGCAAATTTGAAAAATATAATGGTTAATTTAAAAATATTATTTAAGGGTTTTTCAAAATAATTTAATTTAATTTTTATCGTTCATTGCTACATTACTGTTGTTATAATGCTCAAACAAATAAAAATACTAAATTAGTGTTTCAATTTTTTACAACTATTCACTAAACGTTTCAACAATACTACACAAAACAAAATATTTTTTACCAAATATATTTTTTTCACTGTTTACTATTACAAAACCCAACAAAAACAATAATAACAAAAATAAAACACATAGCAAATAAAACCAAATTTATGCTTCTTGGAAGTAAGGGAGTGAAGTCTATATATACTAAAAATATGATATTGGATAATGATTAAAGTTTAAGTGCTCCAAGTGGAAGTTGGCAGTGTGGAACCATAACTCTTAAAAATAATATACGAAAGGTATTATAGAATGCTTGAAAAAAATATACCACGTATCTATTATGGACTTCACTACCACACACATTTAAACATCCAATTTAGAGATTACGTGACAATTTTGTTAGACACGGCTCTATAGTTTATTTTAATTTTTTCTTCTTATTTCCTTACTTTGCATAGAAATTAATTCTTTTTTTTTTTCTTTCTTTTTTTTTTTTTTATCATATATAGAAATTACTTATTATTTATGTAGTCTAGTCTGTACATGTATTTCCACGAGTTACGCCATGGTAGATAGTAACTACAATCCAAACATTTCTTGCAAAATTATTTTTATCGTTTTTTATCATAATGATCACGCTAAGAGTATGAGAAAGCCATCAATAAACTTTATATCCATTTTTCGCTTACAAGGTCTATAAAATCTAGGTTTTTCAAAAAAATAAAAGGAAAAATTCAAAATATTTTCATCAATTTAGAAAAGAAAGCAAAAAAAAAAAAAAAAACAATTCAAATTTTTTGTTTCTAGACTTCATGGTCGGATATAGATAAGAATTTGTATTACGGTTTTTGAATTAATTATTTATTTATTTATTGTCAGTTTTTCAATTGCATAACTAAGTAACCAGTAACCCCATAACTGTTGCGTCATTTCCACGTGAATTCAAGATGTGAATCCTCATTTGTGTTCATGTATTACAACTCAAACTTGGTTAAATTGCACAAATGAACAAAAGAATTGACTAATAATATTTTCATAAAATTGGAAAGAATTGGATTTCAGGCTCCTTTGTTTGAATATATATATATATATATATATATATATATATATATATATATAATTGTCGTAAATTTTATTTACAAAAAAAAAAATATTAAAATTTAACAAAAATAATTTACATATCAATTTTTAATAAAGTTATTTTTCTTGCCTCATCTAATTGACTTGTCCTTAACTTCAATCTAAGCATTTACCAAACATCAAAAATAAAAAAAATACTTTATCTAAAAAAGACATCAAAACAAATGGAGGCCTCAAAGTGGAATTTTCAAATCTTTTTTTTGACCAATTCAAATTAAAATACTTAAGCAAAACTCAACTTTAACTAAAAATACACGTAACTTTTCAAAATTATAAGACCGCCATGTTGTCAGTCTTTAAAGCCACTACTACACTGGTGTGGTCCTCGAAGCTAGCTGCTTTGAAGCTTCATTCAAACAGCTCTTTTACTTTTGGACTATAAGAGTGTACAAAACTACTTTAAATAATTTTTTTTTATTTTTTATTTACTTTTACAAAGCATTTCCTTTCTAACATACACATGATTTGTGATGGTAGTGTAACGGATTCAAATAAATATCAATATAAATTGATTGAATCGATCAATTTATGAAGATGTGTAATAATATCAAACCCTGAAAAAAAAAAAAAATTTATAAGCCAATGCAAACCATGACACCCACCCACATATTTATAATAAGAAAATGTTATAGGCAAAGTGTTGTTAATCTTGTGCCAACATTGTTGGAATTATTTAACTTTTTTTTTTTTTTTTTTTTGCATTATAATGTCAAAATATAATATAAAGACAGTAAAGTTTTCTCCATAACGATTGTGAAATTCATCATTTTCGGTGTATACGGTCTAATATATTGAAAAAGAGTATCATTTTCTTTCGATGAAATGATTAACCAAAACATTAGATACTCTAATTAATATAAAAATTATTGAATTACCAAAGGTTAAAAATAAAAAAGAATACCATTAAGTTATACTTTTTTATTGTAATGACAAAAATTTCTTTCTATTTTTTTTTTTTTTAAGACAATGATTCTTACATTTGGATAGTGCAAAAACTTAAGAAGGGTAAAATTAGAAGATTGACACTTTCAAAAATATTATAACTTAATGGTTTTATCAAAACTTAAACTGATTCGTCCTTACAAATAAGAATAAACTCTATTAACTTGTTATTCAATTCTAAACACTTAAAATTAAAATAAATAAATAAACTAAATTAAATTTACAAATATTGCTTAAAAATTTTAATACTTATTTTCACTTTGGTCAACCAACACCTAAAGAGGCTAAGACTTATTGATAATTTTTGTGTTTAATATATGGAATTAAAATAAAACAAAGAATTGAAAGTAGACTTGTAAAGTCAGTATGGACCGATCCCAAAAAAACAACAACCAAATAATGTTGGCATTGCTACGCTTCTCTCTCTTCGCCCGACCAAAAGATCGCCTCGTATACACCTTTACAATATGGTACACGGACCAACACGCTACCAGATCACGTGGACTCCACATTCCCTATCTGACCTTTTTTCACCATCAAACCTAAGCTAAGCCTCACTAGTGGCTAAATCCTAAGGTCTATATCGTTTAATTTGGAATGTATTTTATAAAAATATTAAAATATTTAATAAATATCATAATTTTGTTGTCATTTAGAGTTTGAATTCGTTAAAAAATAAAGTATCAAGAAATAATGTATTCAAAGATTAAATAATTGCTTCATATTTTGGTTTTTAACAATGTATTTCTTGTTTTAACACTTTTTTTAATAACGATACACTACCAATTGTCACATATTGCATGCCTGATAAGTATCATTAATTTAATCATCTAATATATAACATCACAATACATACCGCTAGGTCACATGTAGAACACTCATGCAACGACAATATAAATTACATTATTAAATTTGCATAGTTTTTATGTGATCGATTTATAAAAAGGTTTCCCTAATAAACCTGAACCCATCCAAATAATAGAAGTGAATCCTGATCCTAATTTAACTTACTCAAGATTCTAGCTAACCATGGTTAAAATGCTTAACTACAGTTAACTGTCTAGTTATGACTACTCTGCTATGGTTTCAGAGCAGTACAAAGAGACTGTCCAAAAAACTCGCGATATTTTCATATGCCATACAACGACACGAGATCAACATATTATGAATTTTATCCAGAATTAAATACTGAGTAATTAATTTTCCAAATTTAAGATTTAGGTTTTAGAGAGAGAAGAGATAGATAAGAACAAAAAAAAAAATCAGGTAGAGAGAGAAAGAGAGACCTGATCTTTAACTCTTGCTTTTGGATTGTTCCAATGGCAACAAAGATTTTGAGGTCTCTTTTCTCTTGAAAGGAAGACGGCGTCGTTCTGAGTTTTTGAGTCTCTGTACTTCCCTCCCTCTCCCTCTGTAGGCATATTGAATCTGATCCACCATGATTTTCTCTCTACTCTGATTTTCTCTCTCTTTACTCTGAAACTAAATAGAGGGGCGGTGACTATGGAGTTGTATATGACTATTATCAGCGTCATCATCGACCTTCAAGTGTTTTATGAAGGTTTTTAGGTTAATTTGTGAGCTTTAATTGTCAGAATCTCATATTACTATTGTTTCAGATATTGCATTTCTTAGGTACTCTGTGAGGAAGAAAATTTGTTATATATATATATATATATATATATATATATATAGAGGGAGAGAGAGATTTAAACTGGAATCTGAATAAACTGAAGTGTCTTATGCTGGCTTAGATTCGACCTTTGATTGATAGCAAAAAAGCGTTGGACGTGTGTGTGTGTGAGTGAAGACTAGAGGGAGAAGTGTAGTTTTGTTAGGGTTTTGTTGAAGAGAGAATCGAGGAAGCTATTGAAGATTTGTGTTTGTTTGACACATTCGCATACTCTGGCCTTTGATTTAAGGAGGAACGAAGTCCATAGCAGAGCTTTTTGTCTCTCTGTGTTGAAGCTATGCTTTATATGGTCACTCTTGGCTCTGATCTGTGGCATAGATAGGTAATAATAGTATTTTCTCTCTCTTCATATATATGTTTGTGTGTGTGTGGTATTTATTGTAGTGGCTATCTCTTTCTATTTCTTTGTTTGGAAGTGAATGTCTTACATGATTATATATGTGTTGCAGCTTTGATTCTTGACAGCATTTATTGAGAAAGAGAAACAAGCAATTAAGTAGAGATTTTTTGTTCATTCCTGTTGAAGAACACTGTTTGATTCTGTACCGACTGAAAATTGCAACAATTGGGTTCGAGAACAAGCAATGGAGGACAAAGAGAAGAGTTTGGACTCTCAACTATGGCACGCTTGTGCTGGAGGTATGGTTCAAATGCCTCCTGTGAATGCCAAGGTATTCTATTTTCCTCAGGGCCACGCCGAGCACGCCCTTGCCAGTGTTGATTTTGGGGCCTCACGGAGGGTTCCGTCGCTAATCCTTTGCAGGGTTGCTGCTGTGAAGTTCATGGCAGACCCTGAAACTGATGAAGTTTATGCCAAGATTAGGTTGGTTCCGATTGGAAACAACGAGCTTGATTATGGTGAAGATGGTGTTTTGGGGAGTAATGGGTCTGAAGCCCCTGAAAAACCTGCTTCTTTTGCGAAAACTTTGACTCAATCGGATGCCAACAACGGTGGGGGTTTCTCCGTTCCTCGATACTGTGCGGAGACTATATTTCCCCCCTTGGATTACTCAGCTGATCCCCCAGTTCAAACCTTAATCACGAAGGACGTTCATGGTGAGATTTGGAAGTTTAGGCATATCTACAGAGGGACACCTAGGAGGCATTTGTTGACCACAGGCTGGAGTAATTTTGTGAACCAGAAAAAGCTGGTTGCTGGGGATTCAATTGTGTTCTTCAGGGCAGAGAATGGGGATCTATTTATTGGAATACGGCGGGCCAAGAGGGGAATTGTTGGTGGCCCTGAATCCCCATCTGGATGGAACTCTTCTGCCGGAAATTGTGTTATGCCTTATGGGGGATTTTCAGTCTTCTTAAGGGGAGATGAGAATAAACTAATGAGAAATGGTAGTAGTGGGAATTTGAACTCTAGTGGTTCGAAAGGAAGGGGAAGAGTGAGACCAGAATCGGTTATCCAAGCTGTGTCCCTTGCTGCTGAAGGGCAGCCCTTTGAGGTTGTGTATTACCCTCGTGCAAGTACTCCGGAGTTTTGCATTAAGGCTTCGTCTGTTAGGACTGCAATGAGGATTCAGTGGTGCTATGGGATGAGGTTCAAAATGGCATTTGAAACCGAGGATTCTTCCCGGATCAGCTGGTTTATGGGAACTATAGCTTCTGTTCAGGTTGCTGACCCCATCCACTGGCCTAATTCCCCATGGCGGATTCTCCAGGTATCTTTGTATAAAGATAGAGCTCTATTTTCTCAAATTTTTTATTCTGAATTTTGTATTAACTTCTATTGATGTATTTATATTTGTTTTAGCAATGTCATTTTGCTAATCATGTTCCTTTGCACATTTAGCTTTCGGTCTTGTTTGTTGATATTGTTGAACTGCATGTAAATAACTCAGATGTTCGGTAATGGAAGTTTTAACCTTCATAAATGCTGCATCAGTGCATAAAAACTCATTACTTTGAAATCTCTTGATCTGTGAGTCATCTTTCGTTAATATCTTATAGGTTTCCTAATTTGCTTTTGATGAGTTTAATTTATCCTGCTGACTTGATATTTCCACCTCACTTCCTAGCAGCATATGCCATATGGTTGTATTTGTAATTGAATGCCAACTCACTCATAGCTGTTAGAATAAGCATGTAGTATTACATCCATAGATATCACATGCTAACATAGTTGAGCATTACTGCTTATTATACGGGCATATATTCTTGGATTAATGATAGTGTACTTCTATTATAATACAAATATTCCAAACATTTTAACTAAACTACATGACATCTAGTACATCAGCTACTCAAATTTAGAAGTTCTTATTTCCTCCTTCCCGCGGTGACGGACAGAAACCACATCCTGCATTTTCCTTAATATTCCATCTGCAAGTTTTATTCTTTCCAAAAACTGACTTTCTCTGCAGTTTGACAATTTTGCACTATAGGCTTACTCTTCATGTCAAGTAATCTATTGAACTATGGTTAGAATAGGAATACTAGCTGAAAGGTACATCTATTTACATGGATTTCTTATCTTTTAGTTCTGACACATCAAGATGCTTGAGATGTTACAAAATAAAGATGCCCTTATCGCTTGAGTACTTGTAGGATTCCTGTGAACTGCATGGGTAAAATGCATAGTGTAGGTGTTTATGCACAATTATGAAGCTAAATTACTCTTCAATGTTCTTCTAACTGGTTCTTTAATTCTTGCTATTGTTAATATGTTTGATTCCTTTACGTAATTCTTGATTTTGCTAAGACCTTATTTTGGCCTTTTCTGTTCTTTAAACAATGATGTGAAGAAACCTTTTGTTCTAAACTTTCGTTCACTTATTTCGTTCACTTATTTCGTTCACGGTGGTTATAATATGCCATTTAAGATTACGAAGTTGAAGAGGTTACTTGGGAGCTCGAACAGGAGGTTCGCTCCAAGTATCCAGCGTTGTTCTCTTCTCCAAGTATGGTTTGATTTCGGGAACGAAATCCTTTTAAGTCAGGGAGAATGTTCCTGTTTTTCCCCATTTTTCATTTTTCAAGAATTTTTGTTTTTACGAGTGCACTTTCGTCTTTTCTCGTTTTGCGTGCCGGACACTGTGGGGTGTGCTGAATGTTTCTAAGAGTTGGGTGAGACATTTCTCTGGGTTCAGGATTCTTGGAAATGCACCGGATGTCATTTCGGCATTTTTTCGTTTTTCAGACCGGAAGGTTCTTGGTGGGATCCGCTACCGGAATTGTTGTGTACAGGAGTTGCGTTACGAGTCCATGGCATTTCATGCATAATTATTTTGTGCATAATTTTATGTTATGTTAAATTGGGTGGTTATGTAATTTGAGCATATATATATATATATTTTGTGGTGGGAAGTTAAAGGTGGGATTTTTGTGTTAGTGGTGGGACCCATCAATGTCCCTTTTCTCTTTATGGCCAATAGGCCATTGCATGGCCTCATTTTGATAAGAGTCGAGCACCATTTAACCAACCATTGGATTTTCGAATTTAGGGCTTTTCTTATTTTTTGAGGTAGGGGTCTTTAATACATAATTTCTTGTGCTTTTGTGGGTTATTCTTTCTTAAATTGTTGTCTAGCATGCTTAACTTGTGTAAATTATTGCAAAATTACTTAAATGTTGTATATGAAATGTTGTGAATAAGCATACATATATAAAATAGAATTCATGTTTTATATGCTTACTATGCTAGATCAATATTGAATGAAAGCACAAGTTATGAAATTTATTTTGAAAAGAATGTGTGAAATTCTTTGGTTGAATTGGTGATTAGAAGTATAAAACATTCATGCGTCCATTAGGAAAGGAAAGAGGAAAAGTGTTTTAAGACAAATGAAATTGTTTTGGGAAAAATGTTTTCTAAAAGTGTTTGCGAAAATCGGACGTCTAGGAGTCGCCTAGTGGTCCATGGCGTTAGTATGGTCTACAGGAGACTAGGGAGAGACCCTAGCGTTGTTGAGCTAACTAGGCTGGATACGACTGTGATACCCCTAATTTCGGAATACGGGTTGATCAAATCCGCGCACAAAATTAAAGGATATCAAAACAATTAAAGTATTTCAAACAAGTACAGAGTACAAAATGAAATAAAAGAATAAATAATACGCTGAAAAAAAACTAATAAATAAAAATTTATTAATAATTCTCCAATAATTACAACTCGGAAATTCCATAACTCAAGGACCCCTTAAAACATTATCTAATAATTTAATATTACTTAAAAAAAATACACAAGATGAATAGATGAATGACAGTCTCCCAGTTGCGGATCCTCAACCTCGAGACTGAAACCTCTAATAACCTGAAAAAATCGTGGGTTAAACCCTACGAGCAAGTTCTCTCTACTAAATCTCTGAAAATCAATAAGTAGATCATCTCTGATCAAAACCAAACCTAAAAAAAAATTTAAGTTTAATAAACAATGATACACATACGTATAAATAGTTATATATAGTAAAACCTTCACATCCCTTAATAGTTTCATTAATTTTCAAAATCATTAAACCATGATTAAATATAATCATACTTAAACTAATTCAAAACTCCTTTTCTTTTAAAGAGAAACCCCTTCAACCTTAACTCCATTTTAAATAATTATTTAATCATTTAAATACTAAAATATAATTCAAAAAAAATTATATTTAATCCAAAAGTCAATAATGAATTTAATTATTTAAACCATATAGTCAATACCTAAACTTTGACAAATAATCTATATCTTTACCAATATTATTTTATTAATATATATAAAATAATACACTAACATGTCACTACTAAATTATTCTAATTTAAGAATATTTAATCCTAATCCAACTTATACATACAGTATCCATTGATAAATTTTAATCATCTAATACACAAAGCAATTTAATTATGCTTTAACAATTCAACTATGCCATTATAAACATATTTATTTATATATTGGTAACTCAACCATGTCTCCTTAAGTATATATGTTTATACTTTGGCAATTCAATCATACCTCCATAAGTATATTTATTTATACATTGGCAATTCAATCATGCCTCTACAAGTATATATCTTATACTTTTAAACTAGCAACTCATCCATGCTTCATATGTATGTATTTTATTCATACAAATACTTAGGCACTATATTTACGCCTATGACAACTCATCCATGTCTACTACTTAACTATGTATCAACTTTAAATTTAATAGTAAGCTAATTCATACGTAAACATCTCCTGCAGATTATAAGTATATCACAAATTTACTAACCAACATCTCCAGATATATCAAATAAGGATAATAATAATCATCATCTTAATTGATATATATATACATACACATATATTATATAATATATAAATATGTATAATATCATCCATAATAATCTTTGATTATTTAAATCATATATATGTACATATATATCAATATATATATATATACACATCCCTCCATCTTTATCCTAAATAATTAAACCATATATACACACACACACACACACACACACACACACATATATATATATATATATATTTATATGTGTATATATATTTATATGTGTATATATATATATATATATATACTTCCTTCCATATCAATATATTAATTTAATTATATTTACGCTATTTAAATGCTACTAAATATTGTCAGAAATAGTTTCCTATCAATACCCCATCTCGACCATTTAAATTTCGAGTAACAAAACAAGCAAAAATAATAAGTTGAGCTCAATCGATATTGTGAGCGCGTCCTCACTGGATTAAAGACTAAGATGCTGACACGTGGCGCACTCTGATTCAATGCTGCATCAACTCTGATGGTGCGCACCGCACTAGATCTTTTCTCGCAACTGCATGGTTCTCCATGGCCTGCGCTGCACTAAATCCGTTCTCTATTCAATCAATCAACATCTATGGCTCAGACTTGTGGTACACTGAATCTCTATGAACTCGCACCACACACAATCAATCCACACATATTTAAATACTCCAATGGGCTAGATTAGTGTGTGCACCATGATAATATGGACCGTCTAACACTGGATTAAAATCCTATTGTTCTAACCCTATTGTTAGGTCGATAGTACACAGACGCCACTTATACAAATATAAATAGACAGTATATATATATATATTTCCAATAAATATAGAAAAATAAATTCTAATAAATTCCCAAAAATACCAAAAAAATATCAGAAAATTCCAGAAAATTTTAAAAAAATTCTAGAAAATATAGAAACCCTAATTAAGCCTCTTGGGACACATATCAACTTATAAAATTAATTTTTAAAATATATGCAACACATATATACAACAATAAAAATCTAAAATTCCAAAAATAAATTATAATAATTCATATTTTAAATATTCCGTTTTAACCATCATTTAATTAATAAATTTAATCTTAAATTTTGATACTCAAAGTGAAATCCTTATGAGTTCTAAGAAGAAAGTTAGAGAAGAACTCGCCTGAAGGTTTCGAAACGAAACCGACGCTTTAAGCTTTAATTGTTTCTTCAAATTTTAGCATCCTCTTTCTCTGATCCGGCCTCCTCTTTGTCGGCCTTCTCTTATTTTCTCTCTCTACCTCTCTTATTTTTTCTAACGTGTCAACCTTTAACCCTAAAGCCTTGTGTATATTTATACACATAAAAAACCAAATCCTATTCCAATTAGGACTCTCAAATAATAATCTTTAAATAATATATATCTATAAACATATATTATATTACCTGTATATATATATATCTTCCATAATTAACCCATTGGTTAATTAAATTTTATATATCAATATATATATATATATATATATATATATATATATATATATATATATATATATATATTTTCATAACAATTATTAATTAATTATATTTATATATATTTATAATTAAAACAAAAATGATCATTTACATAATTAAATAACTATGGGCCTTTATTAATTAACCCAATAAGGCTTCATACAAGCCTAAGACCACGTCTTTTGGTCCAACTTCCCTTAAGCCCAAATCTAATTAATTTAAATAAACCAAATAATTAAATAAATACTTAAATTTAAAAATAAAAATAAAAAACTAATTACACTAAATACATAAACAAAACAATAAATTACAACCAAGTCACACCATACCAATAAAATCAATACGCCAACAATTCAATCAATAATTAAGCACACGCACAACAATCATCATATCAATAATTCACGAAATATATATAAAATAAAATAATTAATCTAAGCACTCGATAAAACAAATCAATTAAAAATTAAAATAAACGCAATTAATTCAAATTGAATCAAATAAATTATTTAAAAATAAAATAAAAGTAATTAATTTCAATTAATAAATCTTTTAAAATATCGGAGTATTACAACGACGCCTTAGAGTTTCCTTATGGTCGTGGATGGTTAGCCAATCCTCCTTTTGTGACGCCTTGGGTCAGATTGCACTAACGGTTTGGAAGATGAAACGGTATTGTTTCGAAAATGGGGAGTGACATTGCATGAAATTGCATTCCATGACATGACACGGCTTGTTTATGACTTGGTAGTTGTTGTTGATTTTGATGTTGAGTGCCGTGATCCCATTTTGTTTACTTTTTATTCATTGTATGGATTCACGGGGTCACAAAAGGAGTTCTTAGGTGCCTCCTACTGAGCTTATGCTCACCCCATTATCTTAACATTTTTTAGGTTCGAGAAAAGAAGTGGCAGACGAAAATCCACTACAAGCCTAGTCGGGTTGAAAAAGATTTGGACTTCTTTTGTGTTTGATGTGTATATTACCCCTTTGTTGTAAATTGTATTAAGTGGCATCGTGTATCTATTCAACGGGTAAAAATGGTTTTGAGACCTCGGCACCATCTTTTAGGGTCTCGTTAGGATTTTTATCTTCTTTTAGGTTTATAACTTTTCAACGATATAATTTAAAGTCATTTTGTTTATGAACATTGTAATCGGACATGTATGATGAATGTATGATGAAATCAAAAGTTTTCCTTACGTCGCCATGTTGTAGAATTCATTGAATTAGCTTGCTAAATTGTTTATTTTACCATTCATGTATGTTGGGACTGATGGGGTTGAATGTACAGCTTAGAATTGCATTGGGGTAGCAAAATTTCAGACGTCCCAGGTTGGGAGCTGGCTCTCCCTCTTTAGGAGTTTACTCTTTTTAGTCCAGTAGCCAAATTTCATCAAAAACATAGCATAAAGCCCGCTCTTTTGGAGTGGAGCCTACTCCTTTGGAATGGAGCATGCTACTTTGGAGTGGAGCCGAATCCTTCTGCAGAAAAGAGGTGGCTCCATCCAAAATGGGAGCCGGCTCCCTTGCTGTTTGTCTCTTTTTTTTAATTCAGACTTTGGATGGCTATAACTTTCTCGTTTCAAATCCAAATGGGTTCATTCTTAATTCAAATTTCAAGTATTTTCAGTCAGCTTTCCAATGAAATTAATTTCACTCAAAAATTCAAATCGTAAAGAGAGTTATGTGACCTTTTTAGTGTGGACTGCTCCTGAATTCCTTGAAAACGAAGGACACAATTGTGTGAAATCCACATTCTTATATTCGAGACTTTGTGTCATGAGTTCAAATGACCCTTATGACTTATGTTGACCTAGTTAGACTCATTTAGAGTTATATAATTAATTTACACAACCTAGTTGACCGTTTTGCCCTCAGTTGTTTTTGGGTTCAGGTAAGAACCCGGCTAGCGATTCGGACCCACGAGTTCGGGTCGTTGCAGTCCGTTGAGTGACATTGACCCAAACCTTAAGGTGCGTCGGTGCAATTTACCCTAATTTAAAAAACCAATTTTGTATGAGCCTGGATTTTTCTTCACGTATATAAAACAAAACTGTCAATTTCAACAAAAATGTGCTCTTCTTTCACACATCTTTTTCCATTAAGGTTCATATAAATATATGTGTACGTATATATGTAAGCATATGTGAATGTTTCTATTATACGTGATTCAAATTTCTGCGCATATTGCTGTAGAAGGAAACAAATCCGATGTCATTTTAGATAACCCCATATGGATTTCATACGACCAATGCAAATTACCAAGTTGATATTTAAGTTGATAAAGTTTCACAAACATAACTTACAATGACATAGATGATTGAGAAGCAAGCAATTGTCCAATATCTTCCTAGATATGCGTCAGCCAGAAATGCTCCTATTAGTGGTGTGATGTAGTAGGTTCTAGACCAATTCAAATCATTCTTAGAAGCGGTAGCACTGTGCTGGTTCAGACGATGCTTGAAATAAAGCACGAGATTGATGTTACGGCAACCTTTCACAGCATTCATTTCCTGCCAATCACCAAAAAAACCTATAAAAATTTTGACACAAATTTCAGATTCTTTAAACTTGAGTAACTGATTAATAAGATGCATACATACATAGGATAAAGGGACATGCCTTCCATGTTCCTGTTTTCTTCTTATTGACAGGATTCCACCGTCCTATCTTTCATATACATATCATCTTCTGCCAGGCTTACCTTCCCATCTTTATAGTATAGATATCATCTTCTGCCATGGAAGTCTAAAAAGTGCTCTATGCTTGATTTAGCATTCTATTTGTTTAGCTGGACATTGCGCACAGACAAAGAAATTCATTTCATGGAGGAGACAAATGAATGAAATTTTGTTACGACAAATGCAACGAACCCAAGCAACAATTACGTAACACGACAGAAAAGTAAACACACCATGCAAAAAAATTTACGTGGAGACTAGACGAAAGTCTTCACTATGTGTAAAATGAGAAATTACAAGTTTCAGCTCCTCACTCTCTTTTCTATATAATTTTCAGTGTCTCTGGATAATACACTTCAAACCTTAAGCGCCCTTATATATCAGGCTACAATAGTACTAATTAAGGTCTACGACCCACAAGCAAAATGGGCCAAAAAAATTTCCGTTGCAACACGACCCGACAACAAATTCGGGCCACAACATCACATCTTAACAAAATGAATGAAATTAAACATAAAAAAAAAAAAAAAAAACTCTACACAACTAGGAAAAAAAAACTTTACACATTTTTCACATGAAAAGTTTATGTTTTATCATTTCACTCAACTTGAAAGCATAATGAATAATTAAGTAGATAAATAAAAAACAAATAAATAAATAAGGTGGAATGAAATATAAGATGAAGCCCAACTATTCATCAAATCATACTTTTGCAATGTCCCAATCACAAGAAATGATGATGATGATGATATTGAAGATCACATTACCAGAGTAACCTAAAAGGATTGTCTATCAAAATACCGCCAGTGGTGCTTGTAACTTGGTGCAATTGATCTTAAACCTGCGATGCTGAAAAGACAAATTTATTGAAAAATCATTAAACTAATCATATTTTATGTGATACAATGTTAAAAAACTGATAAACATGTTCGTAAAATTAGCAGCCCCCTGCCTTGCAATGCACAAAAAGAGATGTCCATGCGGACATACAAGAAATCATAAACTCAGAAATGAGGCACATTATCAAGTCCCACGTTACGAAACAGAAATGAACTTGTATAGAGCACATAAAGCACTAATAACGAAAACATGCAGCATATAAGTCCATCCACCTCCCATAGCTTGGAAATACAGATATTCAATATGAAGATAGGTGCCCGCCTAGGCACTTGGAGTGGTGCCACATGTCAAGTTAATGCCAGATCAAGAGGGAAAGAAAAAAGAAAATAAAACGCATCCATAATACAATTTTTAAGTTTCTACTATGCAGTTGTTGAAGGCATAACCATATTACATACAATAAATTGAAATTCCTTGTCCGGACTTGATAGAAAATATATTGAAATAACACCAAATTTCAGAACAAGTTCTTACAAAGTTGAGTAGAGTATTTCAGGATATTCACAAAATTATTAATACTACAAAGCATTCAATCTAATAAATTGTGGACGTCCAAATACTGAATGAACATCTCATTTAGCTCTGACAAAAACCCAGGAAAAAAGTATCTGATCTCCATTGCTGCATCAGCTTCCATATAGTCCTAGGCAAACAAAAATATGTAATAAATAATTAAACATTAAAAATAAATAAAAATTTTGAAAAATTAAAATTCACACCTTTTGGTTTCCCAATGATTGGTGCAAATATTTTCTGGAATGCTTCACAAAGTTTGTTATCAACATATTTAGCTCAGACAATGAAGAACCGTACTTGCACGCGCTATGACTTGATTTTGAAATTTAAAATTCATCATGTCATATCCAAGAAATTTCTTTCCATTTGCATGAGTTTTATTTACGATTATGTAACGCCAGTCCATTCCACATGGAGGATACGTGAGTGCGTTCATCGTTTGCCTAACTGAAGTGACGGAGCTTTGAAGACGTTTCTCCATATAGTGCCCAATTGCCACGTAATAATTGAATCTCTCTTTATCAGTCATGAGGGCCGGGTGATTCCTCAGATTTTTGGCGCTATAACACAATAAAGCAATTTAATAAAAGTTAAAGAAAATACAAAAATGATATTATTGGATGATGCAAGTGGAGAACTCACCTGGCCTTATCCAACTCAAAAAATTTCAGGAATAATTTCCAATCCAAATTTGTTGTATTTGGCTGCTGACATTGTTGGGTTAGAAAACTCTTGAGGGCCTGCAAGTCTTTCTTCATTGTCAGTTGAGAAGGCGTTATCAATTGGAACTTTCTGCTGGAAAAAATGAGATACATAGTGTTCCCGCCTCTCATCACATATGAAGAGGCGTCATCGAGAGCACCATGTATCATGTCCTTCTCATGAATATCCTGGATGGCACCCAAGATGTTTCTGCAAGTACAAAATATTAAACTCTAATATTAACATTTAAAAATATATATATGAATAAAACAAAACAAAATTAAAGAACCTTATGGATGTTTTCCAGAAAGGGTTCAAGTCCAAGCTGTTGTAACTGTTCCTCACGAAGAATGCCTCTTTTGAGTAGTGCTCTCTCATTGTCCACTCTGAGTAGTGCTCATCAAAGTGGTCATAAACCACTAGAGCATTTTCCCCTTTAGAGTCGAGAATTACGTCTGATAGGAGATAAGGATTTCTGACATCTAATGAAAATGACGACGCAAGTGAATCACAAAAATCTGGCGGACGACGGAATACTCTAACTTTTTCACTCAGGTCTGCAAATCTTTGCCACTCACCCTCCCATGACCTGCTCATGTCATCCTCGGATTTGTATTTAAAATCAACATAATAGGTTTTTTTAGCAGCGTTCTTGAATTTAACCAGAGCTTGCTCAGCTCTCTTATCTAGATCCTTCGAATTGGTTTTTAACATAGACCTGTAATTCGACATGGTAATTTTTGCTGAAACAGAAGAAATTCAAACCCTATAAGTTTACCAACCCAATCTCATCAATGCGGATCAATTTGAACAAAATAAAGAGCAAGATCAAAAGAAGACAGCAACAAAACAAAAACAAAAACAAAAAACCAGGAAAAAAAATAAACAAAGGGAAGATCATTCTTACAGAGGAGAGGGGTTGCTTCTTAATGGGGTGGGCTAAATCAAAATTTATCAACCAAAATCAACTGTTGTTTAATTCAATTTTAGTTAATTAACAACGTTTCTTTAGACAATTGACTGATTAAGGCTTAGAAAATCCTTTTTGGATAATTAATAAAAAAATTACCAATTTATTTCTAAATTATTCACCACTCAGTACCCTATATCTTCTTTTGACCAATTTACTAATCCTATTTGAGAATCTACTAGTGGAAGCAGAGTGTGAGGTTGTTCATGGCAAGCCCCTTCCAACACTATGGAATTCACTCAAAACCATGCTTTTTGTAAGAGATTTACCCTATACTAATCAAAGTTCTTGTTATGATTTTTTTTAGTTGTGAAAAGATTTACATTTAAAAAAGCTTGGCATGTTGATAAAAATTGTTTCAGATTCAATCTCGGAAGACTTCCGATCCAATTCAGATTCTTCTTTTTTTTCTTTTTTCATGCCGAGATTCAAATTTTCTTGTAGACATAATTGCTAACAAAAAAACAAAAACAGAAATAGAAGTTATAGTAATAAATATATATATATATATATATATATATATATATATATATATATATATTTGTTTTGCTGAAATAAAATGTAGTCCATGGGGGCATTTTGTAAGAAAAAAATGTGATACTTAAGGAGTATTGCCTAAAAAATATAGTTCAAAAAGTTATTTATTTATTTATCTATTTATTTTTTTTCAGAAGCTCATAATATTATTTGAAAATTTAAACATAGTTGAGTGAGATTTTTTGCACTCTACTCAAAAAATTTAATTCACAAAATTTGTCATTTTACTTTCCTCTAAACAATGAAAAATGAACCAATAATTTAAAAAATAAAAGACTTAAAAACTCTTCTAAATCATATCTCTCTCAAATATGAAATGCTTAACAAGTACAAACAAATTATAAATAAGTCAAATTTGGTCACTGGTCACTATCTAAAAGTTAGCTGTTACAAGGAGAGATTTGTCCCACATCGGATCGAAATGAGAAGTGACAAGAGTATAAATGGATGGATATGTAATATTACCCAACAGTTCAAACTTTTGAATAAATAGACAAACACCCCGTTACATTAGCCCACCACAAATCAGCAAAAATGATGAAAAGCTAACAAGCAAGCACCTACTTTACTGAGCCAAATGACAGATCTGCTTTCACACGCTACATTAGCCCACCACAAATCAGCAAAATGATGAAATGCTAGCAAGCAAGCACCTACTTTACTGAGCCAATATTTATTAAAATCAGAGTATTAAAAACAAAATGTAACTAATCAACAGTATACACAAACAACAAATCTAATCTAATGAACAGGGCAAAGAAAATGTAACTAATCAAATCTAATCTAATGAACAGGGCAAAGAAAATGTAACTAATCAACAGTATACACAAACAACAAATCTAATCTAATGAACAGGGCAAAGAAAATCGTACCCTTGCAATACTCAAAATTTGAACAAAGGTTGGCCTCTTTCTCTCTCTCTCTCTTTACTTTAATAATATGAGAGTAGAATTTGAGAGTAGTATCTTGAGACCGAGAATAAAATGAGAAGAAATCAAATTGCCATTAAGAAAAGTTACTCACAACCATTAATAGTATTTAACACGGCCACCTACTCGGTCAAAGGGTCACTGAAACTCTCTCAACTCTGAAATTAGGGCCGGCCCTGAGGGCAGGTGCTCCGATTTTGCCCAATTTTGAAGGGCCTCCGATTTGGCCCAATTTTACTCAAGCTTCATGAAAAATAAAATTACTAAGGCCCAAAACTTGAAAAGCCACACTTGAGCCCAGCAGACTTATATTGCATGCAGTTATAATTGAAAAACAATTAATTATACTAACCACCAAAGAAACAATTAATTAAATTAGCCTTTTAAAAAAAAACAATTAATTGAATTAGATTTTAAAAAAGTAAAAATAAAAAAGGAAAACCAATGGCATACCAAAAGTAGTCAACATTGTGGAGATTTCCAACACCATCCGAGTATAACCGTTGACCCCCGCCGACCGGACACTCCATAAAGAAGAAGAAAGATGAAAAAATTATATATATTTTGCCAAACCATGATGCTTCTTTTTGTACTTTTTTGTCAAGTACTTATAATATATTTCATGAAATATTGTTAAATATATCTTTGAATATGATTAACAACAAACTGAATCTTATTGCATGAAGACAAATACAAAGTGGTATTGTCGAAACTTGAAAATCAAATTCATGGTACACGTTCTTCATCTAATTATTCTTTTTTTTTCTTCTTCTAACTTACTCAATTTGATTTATTTTTCTAATAATATTGAATATGTAGACTATTTATTGGTGGTGATAAATTTATTATTATTGGTTGGTTGTCATATGCAAACTGTACTGGCACACAGTTATTTGTTAGTGGTGATAAATTTATAATTATTAGTTAGTTGACTTATATACACTGCGCATGCGCACAATTATTTATTAATGATTAACACAATTATATTGTAGTGTGTTAAGTTTTGTTTGACTGTATTACTTATAGAAATTGAAAATATCCTATGAATATATTTTACATACTCATCGTCTATAATTTATTATTATTATTATTTTTTCTTTTCTTTTTTTTTTTTCTTTTTTTTTTGCATGTGAAACTTTATGTGTAAAGGGCCTTAAATGTGAGAATTTGTCTAGGGCCTCTCAAAATTTTGAGAGTCTCAGCCGGCCCTGTCTGAAACTAAGTAGAGGGGCGATGACTATGGAGTTGTATGTGACTATAATCAGCGTCATCATCAACCTTCAAGGGTTTTTTAAAGGTTTTTAGGTTAATTAGTGAGCTTTAATTGTCAGAATCTGATATTACTATTGTTTCAGATATTGCATATCTTAGGTACTCTGTGGAGAAGAAAATTTGTTATATATATATATATATATAAGGAGAGAGAGATTTAAACTAGAATCTGAATAAACTGAAGTGTCGTATGCTGGCTTAGATTCGACCTTTAATTGATAGCAAAAAAGCGTTGGACATATGTGTGTGTGTGTGTGTGTGTGGATGAAGACTAAAGGGAGAAGCGTAGTTTAATTTGTTAGGGTTTTCATAAAAACAAGAGGATCGCCTTGCAGCAAGTCCTATGAAGGAAAAAAGCTTGCAGCAACCTGTGGGAACCAATGCAGCAAGTCATACGAAGGAAAAAAAACTTGCAGCAGCCTGTGGGAATCAAGCAATGCACACATTGTGGGATAACAAACTCCCCAAAATGGAGGAATGGACCTATACTTGTGGGATTCGATACAATTCTGGTTGTCTCTTACTAGAGTATCATCCGGCAGCAAGTCCTACATTTGTTCCATCTTTGCACACCATCTCTCACAAGGAGATTATACTGATGAGAAAGAGAGTTAGCCAGGAGGCCGCAGTGCCCGAGACTCACCCTGCATTGTCACCCACCACCTGAATTTGTTTCGCTGACAATGGTCAGTATTCATAGTCTCAAACTCTCCTTTGTTTCATATATGCTTTGGGTGGGGTTTGAGTACAAAGTTTGAGTGAGATGTAGCAGTGCAGATGAATATATGTTTTTGTTTTGGTAAATGAGGAATATGGGAAATAGAATGCATAGATCCTTACCTTCATGTTGTGTTACTTTTTGGGAAATTTATATATTGCTATCTCTAATTTATCCCAATGACGGAATGGTTAGTGCTCAATTATGTGTACTAGGAGAAGTCAATATTTCTAATTTCTGATTAATTCTATGTGATACAAGATGCTTAGCTTCACATGTCTCTCTCATCATCTCATGTAGTGTGCTGATACTAGGATCAGAATGGGAAAAATTGGCACCTTCCAAGCCCAACCAAAAAAGCCCATTGACACATAGTTTAGCCCAGCCCATTGAAATTACTTAAGTTGTCCAAAATTAAATTGTTAAAAATTAGCATATGCTGTTTTATTAAAAATTAATGACCTACAATTCACCACATAATTTGTTTTTCTAAACTATGTCATTTTAACTTTAGGAAGGAAAACTATGTCATTTAAGAGGCAATGTATGCCCAGGAGGGCCGTCCCCCCGACTTAGCTCTACCTATATAGTTAATTTTTATTTTTATTTATATATATATATATATATATATATATATATATATATATATATAAATTTGTATACAGCGACTCTAAAATTATTAGTTTCTATCATTTTTTTTTTATCTTTTCTTTTCTTTTTTCCTTTTTTTTTTTCTTTTTTTTTTTTTTTTTTTCTACTTCTTAAAATTATCCTCCTTGTTCATAATTCTTTTTCCTAATTAAAATTCTGACTGTGCCCCTAATATATAATGTTTTACCATTACAAATACATTACACATAGTGACATGGAGGATTAATCCGACTGACTTTTCAATTGATAAAAATAAAGTAGACGAATTGTTGTTGTCTTCGGGGACGCATCTTGGTGTTCACATGGGACATCTCTTGTCCTACCGTTGGGATTCAACGGTTACGATTTGTGCAGTGGTCCAAAACATTTTTAAGATAAAGAATTAATTATATATCATTATTTGACAAGCAAAATTAGAGTGGTTATGTTTTACTTTTTGGTCATATATTTAGAATTAATGCAATGCATGAGAAGAGATCACCAATATATTACTAATTAGTCTAAAAATAAAGTGTATCACGAATAAAACGAGTGTTAAATTTTATAGTCGTGACATTAAGGTGGTGGTGGTTATGGGAAGCGCCGAGATGACTTGATCAGAAAAACATTTCAATTAATTTAGTGCGAAGCTGCTGTTGATTGTCAACAAAATCACGAGGAATCCATTACACCGTTGACTGACCTAACAATGATAAAAAAAAGTGTGTGTATATGTATATATATGCGTGTATATATTATGTATATGAAAATAAAGCGAAAATGATAAAGAAAGAAACGAGGAAGCGAGGGCGACGGCCACGACCGTCGGATCGGCACTACAGCCGTCTCATTCAACGTGTTTACAGGGAAGTATCTCTTTAAACTACATATGACATTAGATGATGGGCTGTTTTATTCACGTGGACTTGTTTGAAATCATACACACAAAGAAAAACATGGAGTGAAAAATTAAAATTAGCAAATATTTAAACTTAAATAAATGAAATTTTTTGGAAGATCGATTCAGATTCTATAAATATGTAGTAGAGACTACACTCTTCTAAACCTCGTTAATACTTTGCCACCAATTTTTTTCCAAATTAATTTTGGAAACGACTATAGCTAAATAATTTTAATTTGATTAGATATTCTTTTTAATGTGAGTTAATTACAATGATCTTACGAGGTTTGGACAAAAAAAATTTAATATTTTTTATACAGTAGATTTGGTGATCAAATTTTATAACATAACAATTTTGTCCTTCCCTTATATAAAAATTAGGATTGATTTTTCACACTCAAATCAACTAGTAACTGATTTAAGGGAAGTCAAAGTAGATTCAAGGGAAGTCAAAGTAATAAAGGTTAAAAAATTTATTTTATATAATTTGCCCAAATTTAAAAATACAAAATTTAAAAAAACAGTCAATTTAATTTACCCTTCTAATATTTTCGTGTTGATTTTTTAATCTTTAAAATTGTAGAATTTTAGTTGAAAAAAAAAAAGGGTTAAAGAAAATTATGTACAACATTACAAGAGAAAGTGGTCATATCAGACAGTAATGAAAACGTTGGCTGTCGTGTGTGTGTCGGGTAGAGGACCTAAAAAACATGTTTTTGTGGTTCGTTTTAAGGCTTCCCTCACCACTCATCGTATACATGGAAGGCATTGCCCCTTTACTCGAAAGCGAAAACTCACCCAACTACTTTGAGTGGGATTGGACCCATTCATTTGCCTAATCAAATCCGGCAACTCATCTTCGGTTCCTACAAACACAGGGATTCTTGGAGTGTCTCCACTTTTCAGCATCAAAGTTACGTCTTTGAATAAAAACTCCTACCCTCTCCGATGCACTAATGGTTTCAGTTTTGTCTACTAATGAATCATACGATCATCTATCATAACATACATATTACAATTACAGTCTGATCTACTAACTTTAGGTTATATTTTGAGCTGATTTTTTTTTTTTAATACAGTGTAATCATTTTAATATTAGCTATGTTGTAATTTTTACACTATTTTTTTCCTCCCAAAATATGCTAATTTAAAATAGAGTTCATGGCAATTATCATGAAATCAATCTCACATTAACATTACTCAAAATAATATATGAAATGCAGGCTCGATTTGTTTCGGTGTAAAATATTTTTTTCGAAAAATATTTTCTTTTTTCAAGTAGAATGTATTCTTTTATTTTTATTTTTTGATATTTGACCGAGGTTGAGATCGAGTCCATCGGAAGGGGCGTGCAAAATAATTTGTCAAAAATTAATAAATAAATTATTTTCGTTATGTTTTAATATTTTTTTTCTTCGTAAATATTTTACGACAATCAAACACCTTGAAATATAAAAATATTTTACACTCGAACAAATGAAGCGGGTGTAATGGTGAAACACGATTACTTGCTTCCAAAATCATTTACA